AAACCTCATGTAGATCAATTTGCTTCCCTTTTTCTGCAGCAAAGTATCTTGGAGCCATCTTTTTGGAGGGTTTTGTGCTGAATTGTTTAGAGAGTGAGCTGTTCTTCACATAATTTGAGAGGTGTATTGCAATGCTATGAGCTAACACCAGAGTAAGGTTCTCCTTTGCCTTAAGCAAAAGGATAGTAGCCGATGTAGTGAAAGTTGGTGGAGCTGTGGGTTTGTTTGGTCCTCTGTGGGCGTAGCAAGTTGTAAGAGAGGCTTCTAGTAGTCATAATGATGCTCCGGTGAGACAGAGTCGCCGTTAAGGACCCTCCGGGATTCAAAGTGGCCGGAAAAAACCCGAAGATCTGTTTCTATCTCATTGTGACCGATGGGTTTGTCTCGTTTTGGAAAAGAGTTTGGTTAGTGTAAAGTTGTTTTTGAAAAAACTTGCCAAAATCAGTAGAAACACAGTGAAACTCAATGGTTAACGTTGACTAAAACCATTATTTTCAACGGTTAATAAGTGTTCTCGGTAGTCGGGTCTGAGAGAGTTTTCACTACACCTATATTCTTTGTTTACTTTTTGTTTACCATTTGTATTATATTAAGGGTTGAATAGAATAAATATTAGTCAAAGGTTTTAGTCTCTCAAACTTTTAGAAAAAAATAGTTTAGATTGACAAAAATATGATCAAAAAGTTTTTTTTAATCTAATTTTCCCATTTAAAGAAAAATCTAATTTAATACATATATAATTATTAAAAACAAATTGAAAAATAAGAAGGGAGGAAACATTTTTATTTCTAATGAACATATAACTTGCTAGCAAATGTTTTAAATAAATTATTAAATAAATTTATTTTATTAATATACAAACACCAATTTGATGGTATTCATTTCAAATGAACCGATTCAGTTTAATTTGAAACCAACCAAAATAATTTATCTACAAATTTAATTGCGTCCTAATATGGTTTAGATCAATTTATTATTTGTATATCCCACAAATAGAATCCGAATTTGAACATAAACGAAAAGTAGAAAAAATGATCTAAACCTAAATTTGTTTGAACTTTCAATATCAAAAATATGTTTGATTAAAATCGGTTCAAACACTATATATTATATTCAACTATGAATTTTTTTTAACTCATTAAATATTTCAAAAGTAATATCTAATCATGCGCTTCGTACTAAATAGTAACTAATCTTATTATATAAAAAAAATGCGCGCGATGGGAGCATGACACGTAAGCAAAATTGTAACTTACAAGATCGGGACATGTGGCTAATATTAAGCAGATGATGACATATGTTAACACTT